GCCCCGTCGGGGTCTGCGTGCAGCCCCACGAGGTCCAGCGTCTGCCGCGCCGCGGGCCCGCGAGCGTGGCGCCAGCCTTCGGAAGGCGGGAGACGCGGCGGGAGAGACGCGGCGCGACGGCTGAGGGCAAGCGGACTGGGAGCCGGGCGAGGTGGAGCGGCTGCGGTCGAGGGGCGGGGCCCGCCAGGGAGCCGTTGGCCGCCGCTCGCCCCTGCTTTGCATATTCATGCGGTCGCGCGAGGCCGGCCGGCCCAGCAAGCCGTGTAGAGGTAATGCATTATTCATAAGGAAGCACCTAGCCCTGCCCAGAAAGGCCTCGTTGATCCTTCCTGAGCCCGAGGAGTCCGTTTGGGCCGGAAAAGGCCACACTGAGATCTGGGTCTGAGGGGGGCGTCGACGAGCTGAGGTGAGGGCTGTTCAGTGAGGGTCGCGTCTCCGGCCAAAGAGGTTGCTTGGGAGTTCTTAGTTCTGTTGTCTTCATGTCAAAAAAAAATTTTCTTTAAACTTGAGGTCTTAAGTTTTATTTGACAGTATTTCGCGGAGCCAAAAGTACTCTGAAGGGAACGGAGGCTGAGGAGGAAGACAAAGAGGAGGCTCTAGGTAACACTTTCCCCCCAGAATTAGGCCCGGAGCACCCACATTCCCACCATCTAGGGGCTTTAACATTCAGATTTTCGTGGAAATGAAGGGCTCAGTCTTGGCGAGGACGCCGTAGCCGCCGTCAGCAGCCAGGCACTTGGTCCGGAGGAGGGCGTCTGTGTGCCGTGCCGGAAGGGGTCGTGGCGGGTGGAGCGTTTGGGGTTTCTCTTCCCTGGTCAGGTTTCCTCCAGCCTTCGTGTGTTCCGCCTGGATCAAAACCTGCTGCAGGCAGGAGGTGAGAGAGGTGGGGACGACGGGATGGCCGCCCCCTCCCCCAAGACTCGGCTCCTCTCACCTGAGCGAGGATTTGCCCTTTAACCTCTGTGGACTTTAGTTCCCTAAACAGAACAGGGGGGAGAGCGCCTGGAAAGTCAAGCTTAGCAATTCACCGACTTGTGCTCAAGTGTGCGAGCGTTGGACGGGCTGTGCTCATCATCATGTACTCATCTGGTAGAAGTGGAGGAAGAGTATGGTTCTTGCTCCTAAATGGGTTTTTGTTTTTTGTTTTTGAGTTGGAGTCTCACTCCGTTGCCCAGTTTTTAATCTCATTGGGATGATGATCCAACGTCTCTCCCACTGGACCATAAATCTCTTGAGGCGGGAGCAGCATTTTACATTCTGTAATCTTGCACGATGCCTGGCACATTGCAGTTGCCTAGTAAATGTTGAATGAATGAGTAATTGAAGTAGCATGGCAAAGATATTAAAAAGTCAAAAGGGCATGAACAAATATCCAGTTAATATAAGAAAAACCATTTATTCGAGTGAGCATGGTGTATGGGAGTTACCTGAGCCAAATGGAATTTGTTAAAATGGTGAATAATATAATTCACTGAAGCAAGCTCTGTGTCTAAATAACTAGGTAAACTTTGGTAAACCAAGTTACCTTGCTGAGTTTCACTTTCCTTTTCCTTATAGTTTTATGTTTAGGTTTAAATCCATGGTCCATTTCGAATTAATATTAGTATATAGTGTGAGATTGAGGTTGAGATCCTTCACTCTCTTTTCCCTTATGGATGTCTTCTCTTTCAGCTCCATTTGTGGAAAAAAACTATTCTTCCTCCACTGAATTGAATCTTTCTTAAAATGAAGGGCTTGGATTTTTAGTAGCGGATGTCTCTACTCCCAGCATTATGAATTTGTTGAACCCCTATATGTTGACATGCACTTCTTTGGAGTAAAGCCATCCTTCATATCATGCATGTGTAACAAAGGCCATCTAGTTGCATTTCAGAACCCAGTTACTGGATTTTGTTCACTCACTCAAAATAAATTTGTAAATAAATAAATTTCTGAAGATTGAGAAAGATGGGTAGAGTGGCTTTGCAAATCAACTATGATCTTTGGGCAAAAGTAATGAAACTTTGGTTTTTACTTCACTTGGTATAGCCAAACAAAAAAAGCAGTAGTTTAGGCCTTAATAAAAAAAATAGCTGATTAATTTTTATATAAATCTTGGGTAAAATAGGAATTGTGCCACTATTTAAAACAGGACAATTGAGATGTCGGTCAAGAGATAAGCCTACTTGGAGGCTGAGGCGGAAGGATTGCCTAAGCCCAGCAGGTTGAGGCTGCGGTGGCCGTGAGCATGCCCCTGCACGTCAGCTGGGTGACAAGAGTGAGACTCCAACACACACACACACACACACACACACACACACACACACACACACACACACAAGACAAAAAAAAGAGGTAAGCCTAGGGTGAATCTTTATCAGAAAGAACACAGAAATCTTGCCTCTTTCTCAAGAAGATCATACTCGTCACAGAAAAGAGTGAATGATATTGATGGTCTATGAAGTTTCAGATGTTTGTGGATCTAATTTGAAAGCAAATACAAGTGAAAGACATTTGAAAGTTAGAATTCAGTGCTTAAAAATCCATAGATATGAAATCTCTTCTAGGTTTTTAGATGAGTCAGAACAAAGTGATAACAACAACAACATCCATCAGACCTATTCTCTGAGAGTGCATGGTCTCTAGAGTGATACCTCCTGGGGCTGTCAGCTTGTAAGCCTTCAAAATTAAGCAGGGTTTGTACTTGAATAGGAGAGCACTACAAAACACCTGCTGAAAGGGAACACAACAGGAGCAACAGACTAGTTAGTGGTTGAGAGGAATCTGGCTATTTTGAAAAATGATTTAGGTATTTTTGCCTTCTCAAAGCAAGCCTATTCTAGAACACTAGAAAGAGACCCTATCTTGTTTCGAAATAAGCGAGCAAGCCCAACAACTAGGGAGGCATCGGTAGTACATCATATTAGAATGAAAACAAAGAGGAATTTCATTTTGGGGATTCAGTCTAGAAAAATTCTTTAATTGTAAGTCAAACTTCTTGAGTTTTAATCTCAGCTCTGCCACCAAGTGGCTGACTGACCCCGGGTAGGTCAATGATATTTCTGGATCTTGATTTCCTCATCTAGAAAATTAGATATTTGGACTAAATTACTGTCTTAGTCCATTTTGTGCTGCTATAGCAGAAGACCTGAGACTGGATAATATATAAAGAACAGAAATGGCCAGGTGTGGTGGCTCACGCCTGTAATCCCAGCTTTGGGAAGTAGAGGTGAGAGTCCAAGGGTTTGAGACCAACCTGGGCAACTTGGTGAGACCTTATCTTTATGGTAAATCAAAAAAATTAGCCAGGTATGGTAGCGCATGCTTGTAGTTTCAGCTACTTGGAAGGCTGAGGAGAAGGATTGTCTGAGCCCAATGGGCCGAGGGTATGGTAAGCATGATTGTGATACTGCATTCCAGTCTGGACAACCGAATGGGACTCCTACTAAAAACAACAAAACCCAAAAAACCAGAAATGTATTAGCTCACAATTCTGGAGTCTGGGAAGTTCGAGATCAAGGGGCTGTATCTGGTGAGGGCCTTCCTCCTGTCATAACACGGTGGAATGCATCACATGATGAGTGAGAAAGAGAGAGAGACAGAAAGAGAAGGGGAGGGGAGGGGAGACATGGAAGGGAAAGGTGAGAAGGGAGGAAAAAAGGGAAAGAAAGAGAGCCAAACGAGATTTTATGACCCACTTTCTTGATAATGAACCACAGCCCTCATGACCTAATCATCTCTTAAAGGTGTATTCTTGCACTGGAGATTAAGTATCCAACAAATGAACTTTGGATTACACATTCAAACCATAGCAATGATATTTAAAGTTCCTCTTACCTATAAACTTTTGTGATTTTTTTCTAGACCCTTAATTTTTTCTTATTCTTATAGTGCTACTCCATTAACTCAGCAAATATATATTGAGCACTTACTTTGTTCCAGTACTGTGATGATGCTGAAAATTCAAGAATGAGTTAGACAAGACACAAAAGGTCATAAATTATATGATTCCATTTATATGAAATGTTCATAATAGGCTATTCCACAGAGATCAAAGGTCGATTAGTGGTTGTCAGGGGCTGGGGGAAGGAGAGAATAGGAGTCACTGCTAATGGGCATGATGTTTCTCTTAGGGGTGATTACAATGTCCTAGAATTAGATAGTAGTGATGGTTGCACAATTTTGTGACTATATAAAAACCTACTGAATTGTACCTGTTAAAAAAACTTTAAAAAATAAAAAAATGAGCTAGACAGACATAATTTTGCCTCATGTTAGTTCTCAGTAGGTAGGGGGATACATAAAGGTGACTTTGATACAATAGTCATTGTATTGGGCACACAACCCAGACTTGATAGTGTTGTGGAGGCAATCAGAAAATCATTCCTTCAGGAAACTATACTAAGCAATGTCTAGGAGGTGAGTAGGAATTGGAAATGGAGGCGGATGTTTCAGGTAGAGGGAATACTGCAAAAGCTTGAAAGCTGGATAGAACATACTCCTTCAGAGTAATTAACGTAGACAAGAATGACTGATACACAGAAGTGTAAGGAAAATGGGTAGAGATGAGGCCAGGAAGGCATGGTTAGGATTTTAGATGTACCCTGATGGTAATGGAAAACCATGTAAGTATTTCAATCTGAGAAATTGCCTAATCAAGTTTATAATTTAAAAAAGAAAACTCTGGCCATATTATAAAGAACAGACTGGAGAAGGGTAAGACCAGCAACAGGCAGATTGGTGGTTGCAGCAGTCCATGCCAAAAAATGAGGCTGACTGATCTTAACTTCCTGGCCTCAAGCAATTCTCCCACGTCATCCTCCCAAAGTGCTGGGATTACAGATGTGAGTCACTGCACCTGGCCAAGGATGGTTGATCAAAAGCAGAGATGCCAACAACTTGGATAAAGTGAGTAGTGGATCCATTTGAGAACTATTAAGGTAATTGAACATGGGAATGAGGAAGGGATCAGGGTTGAGTCACAAGTTTAAGTTTGAGCCACTAGGTATTTGATGATGTCATTCACTGAGCTAGGGGACATAAGTAGGTTTTTTGGGGGAAAAGTTCATGTTTGGATGGTGAGAACATCAAAGTGTAAGTATAACTGCCTTATGTCAGTTAGAGGAACAAGTCAGCAACTCCTAATCTATTATATTCTTTTTTTTTTTTTTTTATTGAGTTGGAGTCTCACTCTGTCGCTCAGACTGGAGTGCAGTGGCTGCTCCCGGCCACTGCAGCCTCAACCCGCTGGGCTCCGGTGATCCTTCCGCCTCAGCCTTCCGAGTAGCCGGAATTACAGGCATGTGCTACCACACCCGGCTGATTTTTTTTTTGATTTATTGTAGAGATGAGGTCTCGCCAAGTTGCCCAGGCGGGTCTTGAACCCGCGGGCTCAGGCAATCTGCTCATCTCGGCCTCCCAAAGCAC